TGTTTTTAGTATCTTAGCATAAATAACTTGAGCTAACTTCCTCCCTCACCATTTGTCTTTAATCTCCATACAAACAACCTAAGCTAACTTCCTCTTGGCCATCCTTTGTATCTATTCTCTGCATAAACAGCGTAAACTAACTTCTTCTAGCACCATTTGTATCTACTCTCAGTGAAAACAGCTTAAAGCTTAAGCTCTATTTGTCTAACTTTCTCTTGGCACCCTCTTTGGAGCCCATGTATGCCTCACAGATTCCCGCTTTTTGTTTTTTAAATAAGGTGGGCTGTTTACCTGTTTGGCATTCCTGCCGCCCCCTCCCCCACCCCTCACTCCCCCACCCCTTTGCCTCTCTCTCTTTTTTTTTCAAGTCAAACCCAACATTTATTGAGAACACAGAAAATCAGTTGACAGATCAGCCCTACTGTCCCTGAGTGATTTAGTTATGAAGCAAACACAGTATAGGTTTTTCAGTCCTAACACTAGTTAAAAATTTTAGGGGATTTCTCTAAAAAGTCTCTTTTTACCAATATGGTGGGCAGGAGAAAAAGGCTTTTACTATCTGAAGTACTGACGTGAACATCTACAGAGAGAAGAGTTAAGAAACCAGTTAAAGGTACAAAGAGAGAGTTATCCTTCCCTACTCCTACCCCCAAAGACAGCTGATGATTTCCAAAAGGAGGCTGTTTTAGTCACATTAAGGAATTACTAGAATCAGTCCATCTTTGAGGCCAGTCCCATGGAGAATTGTCAGCCCCAACCTCTGAAGAAGGTGGGCGCTGAGTTATCCTTATCATACATGGTCATCGGTGTCCATTATGCACTCAGCCTCCAGCACATACTTCTCCTGAAGCTCCTTATCGGGGACTAGGGGGGTCCAGCCCCTCAATGGTCCCCTCCCAGGGTCCGGGAAGAATCTACAACCAGCTGATAATTAATCTTTGATTAAAGGAAATGAATATATGTACATGAAATTCCTTAGTCCATATACTTTATTATTCTGTGTCAGTTACAAGCATATACTCTGCTCTCATATTTAGCTCTTTTCTTGCCCAATATCTCTTTACATTTATCTGTTGTCCCCTCTAGGTTCTTTCTTAATTCCTTCATCTAGTTCTGTCCCTTCTAGGTTCTCATCCATCTAGTTCTTTCCCATACCAGTTCCTCTCCCATCTCCTCTCTCGTCTTGTTCTTCCTCATCTTGTTCTTCCCCATCTGGCTCTTCTTTGTCTTCCATCTCGTTCCTCTAGTACTCTCTTCTAGCCCTTCAATCTAGTACTTCCCCATCTCAGTTTGTTTGTCTCAAGTTCTTACCCGTCTAGTTCTTCCATTCTCTTTTCTCTTCTCCATTCTGTGCCCTGGAAGTCCCGGTATATAAAGGGAGGTTCCGAGCCAAATTGTGTAAAGCTATTACTTAAGGTCCACCTGACCTAGGCAATGTCTCCTTGTGGAATTTACCTTAAGTCAGGAGATTTGCATGTGGGCTGTTATCACTGTTATCCTCGGAAGTTGGGTGCCCACCTGGGTGGTGTTTCCTGTAGTCCTTGAAAGTGGCTAAGGTTCCAGAGAAAGCCTTTCCTGAGGCTGTTATCCAAATACCTGGAATGTGTATGTCCAGAGAGTGATCAGTCCACACTGTTAGCCCTTCTTAGGGAAAAGTCAATTGGGAAAACTATGAAGGCACACATGATTTTCATAACAGAAGACAGCTGATATATAACAAGCCAAGTAACACCAAAAACTCCTTGGAACTTGGCTTCCTCTGGAGGAAATCCTTGATCCCTCCAGGTAGTGACTTTGCCATAACCAGCTGAGTTCTTATGATATATTCTTGCGGCCTGCAGCAGCTCCTGGTCCAGGGCCCAGCAAGTGCTCATCTCCAAGCTGTCAATGTTGCAATGGAAGGGCAAACTCTCCCCTTCCAAGAACGTAGAGGTCCTGGGATTTGAGGGAGCTACACGCTGGAAAGCAGTCTTTGATGAAGGAGAAGTACACATGGGCACAGCCTGGCCAATGACATCCATCCTCCCGCTAGATTGCAGACCCCAGGAAGACCTGGAGGAAGATATAAGC